AGTTATCAAAGACTCAGCAGGGAAACCTTTTCATTATCTTCCAGATATAAATAATGTTGTTAGGACGTTTTACATGCATCTATACACTTCTGACCATGACCCAAATATGGAAGACATTCACAAATTTCTGAGTGCTATAGATCTGTCTATTTTAACACAAGATCAAGGTACGATGTTGGATAAACTATAGCTCTAGAAGAACTATTCTTAATCAAATACTCTGTAACAAGGCATCTAGCCCAGATGGCGTCCCTGCTGAGTTCTACGAACATTTCTGGCCAACCCTGTCCTCGCTATTCATAAGAATGGTTGAAGAATTTTTGATTAGGTCTAGAAGTCCTCCAACCATGAATACTGCAATAATTAACCTTTTGTTAAAACCAGAGAAAAATCCCAATCAGCCAAATTAGGCCACTTTCTCTGGTAAATACAGACATTAAAATTATAAGCCATGTTCTTGCATCCCATTTAGAAAAAGTAATTCCAGCCCTTATCCATCCTTACCTGACAGGTTTTATTAAAGGCAGACATCCCACTATAAATATTTGTAAACTATTCAACTCCATGCAGCTTTCAGAGTATCAGAAAACTATAATCTTATCAGTCGATGCAGAAAAATTATTTGACAAAGTCTGCTGGAAATTTCTGTTTGAGTGACTATGCGTTATAGTTATTTCCCATATTCTTGTTATAATTGTGTTATTGCTATCATTGTCATTATTATGATTACTGGTGATGAGTATTATTCTGATTATTGTAATAATTCTTTCCTCAATTGCATTAATCCTGGACTGAATAGAAATTAATGTACTCATACTCGTATTTTTCTGTAAGTTCCCTAATCTGTTCTCCTCTACTCTGTATGTTGTATATTTCGTGATAATAAGAAAATAGGGAAAAAAGAAACGTTTAAAATTTTAATTGTTAGGAATTAAAATTATACTTCTATTTCAAATGCTAAATGTATTGGGGTTTTTTCTCAGTTTACATTGTTTGTATTTACACGTATGATTTATTTAAAAAGTGTTAGAAAATAATAACTAGTATGTTTTCCTGTTACTAACATTCATACTAACAACTGTGACACAAATATGTCTTTGGTGTCCTAATGCTTACAGGACTCGGTGTCCTTAATTACATTTAATCTTTGGTTTAATCTTCACAACAGCCCACTGCAAGTTTCCCTAGTGCTTTACCTGCCTGTCACCACTAACTGAGGGCTTGAGTGAGAGACAGTACTTTCATCTTAGACACATCAGTCATTTCAATTCATTTGGTTCTTATTTTTCAAAACAGCAAAAGAATAGGAGTAACTAACAGTTTGATATGGTTGTTAATCTTAAATGGCACACTATAAGTGTTTGTACTATATAATTTTACTGTAAAAACTGTGTGAGAGTGGTCTATTGCTCAGTGAAAATGGCTTTTTTCTTTGCAGTTTCACAGTTTTGAAAAAGGTTCAAGTTGCTGTCATTTGCATGTTTCCTCCTGAAAACAAAACTCAATTCTAGAGAGAGAGATAGCGTGATAAGAGATAACTCTTTATTGTTATTGCACAGTCTTACCTAGTACAATAGTACGACAAAAGTGGAAACTGTCCCCAGGTCGGCACCAGAGATGGGCAGTAACGCGTAATCTGATTACTTTTTTCAGGTAACGAGTAAAGTAAGGGATTACTATTGCAAAAACGGTAATTAGATTACCGTTACTTCCTAC